GAACCATGAACAGTACATTTATTACAGTATTTATTCATCTTTGTTAGTTAAGGAAAATACAGTTGTTCATGTTAATTCACAGTGCATTAACGAATGTTAAGAAGCACAACTTTTGATTTTAATAATGCATTAATAAATGTTTAAATTAACATTAACTAAGATTAATAAATTCAACAGTCATAATTACATTAACACACATGGAAAATGTGTAACGGACGCCTCGCAGATACAAAAATAATGTTTTATGTTTTGATTAAAAGATAGGCTAGTTAACATTAAACGTTAGCGAAACCCTAAGAATTCACAAAATTTTTTTTTTCAACGGTGCTCTCATTATAATGTTATGTAGCCTATATGACAGTAGTTATTAATGTTCTGCATTTCTGTTTTGAGCTGCGCGACAAAAATAATGTTTTATGTTTTGATTAAAAGATAGGCTAGTCAACATTAAACGTTAGCGAAACCCTAAGAATTCACAAAATTTTTTTTTTCAACGGTGCTCTCATTATAATGTTATGTAGCCTATATGACAGTAGTTATTAATGTTCTGCATTTCTGTTTTGAGCTGCGCGTGCTGAAGATGACCGGTAGAATGAAGCAGCAGGTTTTTAATCAATGGGATTTAACTCGTCATTTATCTCATATAGAATACGCTTCGTTATTTATACAACATAACATTAATATTATGGCTTATAGGCTATCTGCACAAAATGCCCCGAATGCACATGAACGTGTCTGCGCGGCTCTGAATGAAACACGGCAACTAAACTCAAAAAATTCACAGCGTTTTATTATAATAGTGTTCTCATTATAATGTTATGTATATGACAGTCCCAGTCATAGTTATTAATATTCTGCATTGTTGTTTGACCTGCTCGCGCTGAAGAGATAATCACCGTATAATCAGAGATAATCAGCGCAACTCAACCAAATGCATCTTATACGAGATAAATAATATATACACGATATATATATAAACCGGCTGAAATGTTTTGAAATCACTTGTACCCTACCTGATCGAAAAAATCCAGTCTTTAACTCTGTCTGTGTCAGGTTGAGTCTTGTTAAAGTTTTAAATCCCTGCCGCCAAGATGCTCCTCTCTCGGTCACGGATTATAGAAAGTGAAACTTAAAACTAGGGGTGGTTGGATTTATTCACGCACGTTAAAATATTTATTTAAAGCTTCTTTCTTTTCAGATTCTTATTTACAGCGTTATCTTAATAGGCTGTATATTAACTTATTGGGAGAAAACCGGTAGTTCTATGTGAAATCAGACATTTGAGCACCCCCTTAAAGCCAAAATAGCTTGATCATAACACCTTGCGAATATTCGACTGAGAGTCAAATCAGGCTCCTCCTTTTCGAAGCATCGAATCGTCGACTATTCGGGGTCACCCCTAAATCCAACGCTACATTTTTTCTTGTTCAATACCCCATTTTGCTCAGAAATACCCTGTAAAGTCGGTCGCAACTTCTGTTTCAAGATCTGACATCCCTGCGATCGCACTCATTATATTTTTTGTGTGTCTCTGGATGTGAACGCACTAGGGCTGTGCGATATTGAAGAAAAATGCGATATGCGATACCTTGTTAAAAAATGCGATATTCGATATGATATTGCTTAAAGTGTGTAAAATCAATTTAAATGATATTTTAAAATATTTAAAAATGAAAATTATATAACCAATTTGTTTCACATTCTTTCTTGGAAAAT